GGGATAGAACGCATTTCTGTAACGCCATATGCATCTCTCTTCCTTCTCTCCCCCTCTACATCCCTGCATTGTAAAATCGCACGATAAAAATCACCAGCAGTAAAATCGCGCTCTAAACGAAGAGAAAAAAAGGGCAACGAGCGACGAACAATATGGCATACCAAAAATACGCTTCCTCCGAACCCAACAGCGTCACGTTCTGACTGCAGTTGCATCGCGGCTTCCGAATAGGTCGAACGTGTGCGCCGCCGGGGATGGTGCATCCGGGTTAAACCCGGGGTAAGGCGCCGTCGCGCGCGCGCTCGGACGTTATCCACGCGGAGCTTCCGGTTATCTAAAGTCACCGATCGTTACCGTGTATTTCGCGGCGGACGTTGAAGCCCATTTTTTTCCCCCATTCTCGTTTTCCTCTCTTTTTTTTTCTCTTCCTCGTCTCTCCCTACCTCCCCCTCCCCTCTATCTCTCTCGTATCCCGCGGCGACGTGGACGCGGATGACATCTCGACGGGGAACGACGACTGTGCTTTCTCGATTCCCACGGCGCATTCGTTTTCTCCGTCGCTGCTACCGCCACCGCCGCGGGCTGTAATTGCAGTTTCCTTTTATTTCGAGCTCGCGGAATATACCGGTTTACTCCCGGTGCTTTATAAACTTCCCCGCGTCTTCTTATAATCCGATATGAAACTCGAGCAGGGCTGACTGCGGCCGCAGCCGCGCGGCGCGGCGCGGCGCGACCGCTGGCAAAAGAATTTTAAGTTTCCATCGAACGAAGTTGCACTTCCGCGGAATTTCAATATCTCCGTCCGTAATGGACCGTTACTGCACGCATTACGCTCCATTACGAGCACGCGGTTTACCGCGAGGAGATCTGTAGTTGCTTGAGCGCATTCGAGAGCGCCGCTTCAAGAAATGGCAATATGCGCCCCATTGATGACCGCGAAAAAAATTTCCAAACATGTATCGTGAGTATGAAGAATTGTTTAAAATAATTATTTGAAAACTCTTATTATATCATAAGAATTTTTCGTGAAGGAAGGGGGGTAATCGATATCGTAATTTAATTATCGATTTATTAAGAGGAAAATTTAGCTTTGGCTTTAAATCGTCACGTTGCAAGTTTGTTAAAAATAACGGCACACAATTAGCGACATAAATGACATTTATTTATAATGAATTCAAAAATTAGAAAAGAGATTAAAATTCTGTTTATATTGTCACTTATTACATTTTATTATTTGAACATATTTTCGATTTATTACATTGAATTGCATTATATATTTGTTATGCAATTATATGTTTGTGATTTAACAGTATTAATTTGTATTAACAAAAGATTTGTATTAACAGAATTAATTTGAAATTAATGAATTTAAAAATGAACGAGGTGAGAGTGACACTGCCATTGTCTTTTAACTGTCACATGTGCGATTAAAGTTATATTAACGTCGATTAAGTCATTGCGCGGTTACCCGTGATTTATGGGAAAGCTTTCGTAAAACGACACGTCGAATGAAAATGAAGGCATGTCGCTACGATATGCACGTTCATAATTTTTAATAGAAATGAATAATTTGATACAGATTGCAAAAAAATAATAATAATACAACTTGATCAACTCACTTTATTAATAACTTGATTAATTAATGATATATAATACAATAAAAAATGAACAATAACACAAATGTCGTAAATTACAAAACGAAACACAAGATCATAAATAAAATATCATTGCGATTGCTTAATTTGAACAATGTATTGCATCACCCACATTTTTTCCAATCGGAAATTCCATTGTATTTTTTCGATTAATCGATTGCCTCAAATATACGTGTTTTAATCTTTATCGAAACATGTAAAGATTAGAACTGCCGACTGTAATTCCAACTTTATCACTATTTAAGCAATGTAATGCGTATGTACACACGGCGTTATATGTACAATTGGGAGTTCGTGCACCTCCATAATTTGTTTTACTGTCAACGATACAGTGTGTAGAGTCACCTGCTATGATACGGCAACCGACTGCACGATATACGGATGGGTGATGCCTCTGATCGTAATCTATCCGGTTTAACGATCGAGTAAAAATTTAATGTTCTATGTACCACGGCAATTGAAGTAGATAAGGTAACGTTACTGCGAACGTTCCATATCCCTATTAAGTTTACAATCGTCCTACTTTGGTGTAATCGGCGTTTAAATCATGACAAGGACGTTGCGACGTACGTCATATCGACGAACAAAGGATGCTGCTAAACCCGTCATTAAAATCTCATGTGCAGTCTTCGGCTATATCATCGTTGTTACTACGCGTTTATTTGCTTAGGCTTTGAATAGCTTAGAAACCCTTGACCAGTTTAAACGGCAGAACGGTATGAATTTTTAACGCGATAAAACCTAGGGGATTTTCAACTAACGTACAAACCGAGAGTTATCATAAAGATGAGAGAAGTATTTTGAGGAATATAAATGAGCGAGGATATAACGATCTATTCCGGAGTAATAGATAAAGGGATTTTAAGAAGTTTAAAATATAAGCCAAGAGCTAACAGAGCACGGTGGAATAACGGTGACTTTAATATATCTCTCTACAACTGACAAGAATTGTGTAAAACAATCGGAGCCGTAAATCTGCACAAATCCGCGCTTCGATGCCGCGTGAGTTGTGGGCATTCTTTATTTCGGGATCTTCTCTCTCTTTCTCTCTTTTCCTCTCTTTCTTTGACGGCGCAATCGCGCTTTGTTTATAAAAATTTCAACGGAATAATTTTATTTCCCGCCATGTTCGTATCATGTGTTTCCCAATTCCCGTGTTCCCCGACCTACCCCGAACGCATTCAATTCCGAACAGAACAACCATACTCACAGCGTACACAACTATTATGCGTTTGTGTGCGTTACACGCCGGGGGTCCATCGTTGGTTCCTGATATACAACGAGAATGGGAACGTGGGTATGGGACAGAGGCAGAAGGGGAGCAGGGGGGTGTTGTGGGAAGGGAAAGGGAGGAGGGGGGAAGGCGGGGTGCACATGCAGCGGCTTTGATTTTCAGCCCACGGTACGCTACTGCCAATTATTCAGCGTACATGTTGGCCCATTGTGAATCTGTCGAGAGATGGCGGTCGATTACTGCATCCGAAGTGGAGCCGTTATGTCAATTTGCATAATGCATCGATTAAATAAACGGGTTGCGGTCCTGTCCACGATGTCGTGGAGCACAACGGTGGCGGAGGGCGCGTCCACGCCGTCCGCAAAACAACTATTGACAGGCGGCGAATTCTCGACGCCGTTCACGTCCTGTGCGTACGTCAAAATTAATGTACGCCCTCCGCTCCCCCCTTCCCCCACCCAACCCCTCCACCCCATTCCCCTTATCTTTTTCCGGCGTTCGCGCACGCGACACGTCACACACGACGCGCACGATAACGATTATGAGGTTGTCGCGGATGTCATTAGGATAACGGTCGCGCTAACTTGTCCTTCGGCATTAATTAGCGGACGTAAATCGCGCGTCTCGCCTGAAATTCCCCGTCGTGTCCTTCTACCCTGTGTCGTGTCGTAAATCAGAACGCGTCATTTGTCGCCTCACGTATCGGCTCGTACACAATGCCGAAATATATATCGGATTACCAAATAAATTCTCATCTTGCTCGATTTAGTTTCGCATTTAATGCCGCTATTTGCCCAAGCCGTTGTTGCATGATAATTGCGCCACGGCTCGACATGTTTCGTCGATGCGGTAATTCCAGACGACATCGGCAAACGATCGCTAATCGTACAATTATTGTCCATTCGTTTTATTGGCACATGCATACAGTAAATATACGCAGCATTTCCGAAAAATCAATAGAACAATTATTAAGGGATATTTTCAAATATACGAAGACAATTTTTCTTTACTGAAATTTTTCGAATGGCCAATAACTGAAGTTTGTTCCAGTTAAATATTGAATCCAAAAGCGTGAATAAAATAAAAATGATGAATTTTTTCCTCCCTTTCTCTCTCTCTCTCTCTCTATCTTCTTTTAGTTAATTGATTAAGTAATCATCAGCACTCCGTGTTGGCACTCCATGTTTTTTTTGTCGAATCAGAAAATGATCTTTTTTTTAAAGATATAATCAAAACGATGTAGCTGCATTAAATAATTCAATTATTACCGTTTGTTCAAGTTTTATAGTATTGTCTAAAGGTCTGTATGTTCGATTATGAAATATAGTCGATGAATGAAGAAAATGTGTTTTATCAATCATACAATTACGCACGTCTGATAGAGATTTATTCTGATAGTTTTTCGCGTTATCTAGCTTCTTGTAAAACATTTAAACAAATAATTCTAACATTATTTTATAGTTTTAATCTCGTATATTACACTATCGATATTTTCAGATCCGTTTGATATAGCTCAAAGCTTTTTAAATATTTCATGAGGATTAAATTTTGATCGTGTTCATTTTTTATTTCAATGTTTCCGTTAAATATTTCGGGCTTTGCTGGGACAAGTTAAAATTAAAAATTTATTAAGGACAAACTGATCATCTATCGTCCTTGTTACCACACTACTATGTTGTCTAACATCTGCTGGTTCGTTATCCTGCGTTGTGATATGGAAAATCGATATGAGCATCGACATAAGCGATCCTAATGCAGGCGCGTAAATATTTTCTCTATGTTGAAAGCAGGAGAATATTGCAAGCGTAAACATTTTCCCCGTTACCTGCGAAAGCAACGTAGATACTTAGCCTTAAACGTGTCGGCGTATATAAGTGATGACGGAACTTCGGAGAAACATAAACTGGAGGAAGAGACCTTGTAACGAGAATAGAAGAATACCTATCGATCCGAACCAATTATTTGTTTCCTCAATCCCATTAGCGAACGCAAACGAAGGGAGGACGAGACCTCCTTCCTCTTTCGCAATTATGTATATTATGCTTTATTCCTCTCTTTCTCTTTCTCGGGGAAACTTGCAGGTTTTTTTTTTTTTTTTTCTATTTACTTACATGGCTCGTCGACGTCGCCGAGCTGAACTTGCGCCACGACGAACCGAGCCAGCAAGCTCATCAGCAAAAGCGTCCTCCCCATTGTAAGCGGAATGAGAAATGCCTCTGCCTCTTCAATTCCTCGCGCAGACACACCGTCCTCCTTCTTAAATCCCGTGCTCAAGTAGGAGCCAACGCGGCTGATAACTTTCAATGAGACGGGTGATCCCCGGCGGTGATCCGTCAGGTCATCCGGAATCTCGGTTCTAGCGGGCGCATCGCGGTCATAAGACGCGGAAGACGGAAATCCGTCGCATCGATCTGACCCCCGGGGCGAGAGCCGGTCCTCCCGCGGCCGATTTTCACCGGCGACCCCCCGGTAAAACGTCCGATATACACTTTTAACGAGCGGGGCGGACGCGGCGGAGGGGGGGTGCCCCGACCTGCGCTTTGAGAGGAGGCTTAAGTGCAGTTGACAGAGCACGCGAGGCACTACCGCCGGTAGATTCTCGACGTAAAACTGCAGATTATAAGTAAGTCGCGCAACTCCTTAAGGGCTCCGCGCGATTACGCGCGTTATTTATGTACGCAAACTCCAACGTCGTCGATTAACGGGGTTACTCGATCGGGTAATTGTACATCTTCTTGCACAGTCCATTGGCGTTCACTTCATACACCACTAAGTCTCACACGCGCGCGGACGACCCATCCCACGGCTCGCCTCCGTCATCGCTCGATGATAATGACGTAATGATGTTTTCGAGAAACGTGGGACGGAAAAATCGATGAACTAGATGACTCCGTCCGTCGCGCGACGAACGTTAACGGATACGATTACCACGTCACCATATTCCGCGCACGAAAAACATTTTATATCGTGCACTTTGATATATCGGGATCACCCTCTGTTCTCCTCCCCCCGTGTGCATCCTTCGTCCTCCACAAAATTATATTCACGCTGCGCCGCGTTCTCAATAATTATAGCGTGAACGTGTTGCGAGAAAGTAAAAGTGTTCCGGCAGCGAGCGTCAAAGCGTTGGCATCTCCAATTTACGTCAGACCGATCGGCGTCAGACCTGCTAAGTCGATCTGACGTGATTTCAGGTACAGGTGCGAAAATTATCGATCGCCTGGGAAGAGTCGTCTAGCTTATGCGCTTACTTCTACTATCTATCCAATCCGTGAAAATATATTTCTTCTCGGGGTGGAGGAGGTGGAGAACGCGCTCCAGCCATGTGATTCCGTGTGATAGATTTTAGATCGCACTTGAGGTCAACAATCGAGAGAGTTGCAAACTCGTGTCGAGTTTCCTCGGGGCGAATGGAGTATCGCGCGAGGGTGATCCGTTCGCCACTTTTACCTGTCACGCGTGAACCCTCAGTTTCCGGTCCCGATCGGCACTCTCGGATCTCTCACCCGCGCGGGAGATCGGCGATCGGATAGATTAATCGGTGGTACCAATCGCTCCCGACCGAGCGGTTCACGGTGAAACGCGAACCCCTGCCCAAGGTGGAAGGCGCGCTCACTGCTGCGTTGCGGCAGGCCTACTGATGGTGCCGTCGAAGCTTTCGGCTCGCCTCGGCGCGACTCGTGCGGGTCCGTCACCCTCCGGTGCGGCGGCCGGTTAAAGCGCCCGCCGATCACTTTTCATCCCCTTCATTCCCGCGCCCGGCCTCGTCCTACTCCACTGCGCGCACTCCCTCCGGCGCTGCCCGACACTTCGCGAATCGGACGAACGTTAGGAAACGACTGCCGTCGTTGAAAACGCTGAGACCGCGAACGATACGGAACAAAGAGTACGCGGATCGTTTGTGTTTAGCTTGTAGCTAGTAGAAATGTGAGAAATAAGGATTAACATTTAGCAGAGGTAATCTGCGCGTCCAGCATGCGGCGTGGCGAATGATCGATAAAAAAAATCGTCTCGAAGTGATGTCACATAAATAGAAATAAAACACTGTGAGACAAGAAGTTAGAAAATTTATTTCGAAGATTCAAGCTTTGATTCGATATCACGAATAAATTAGAGAATTATATTCTCCCTTCTCGAATTTAATTTTACCTTTGCGAGAGAAACATGCAATTTTTTTTGTGTCATTTTCCTCGTGTGTAATACCCTTCCTTGTGTAATGTAACATCGTGAATCAATATCGCCGATTTAAAGCGGCACGTAATTCATTTTCTGAGTGCGAAAACGTTACACCACATTCTTTGTCATTTAGTGTTAAAAGGAGGGTATTATATCAAACACACATGGGTATACCTGGATATTACGTATAATACAAAGCATTTTGTGCTCTCTGTATTTCACAGAAAATGACTATTGCACGACTAATACCATCGACATGATGCGGTGTACTGCCTCGTGCGTCTGATCAACTATGTCTACGACTTCGTGTCTCTCTTTCTCTCTCGACTGACTAAAACTAGCTTGCGTGCTTTGGAAATTTTACATATAAAATGTTGAAAGGAAAATTTATCTATATTTTAGCAAATTGCGCGAAATAAAATTGGACGAAAATCTGCTAATTCCAAGATATATAAGATGTACTTTAAATAATGACGTTATATTTAGAAGAGACATTATAGGGCATGATGGACAATAATTGTAGGATAGACAATACTTATATATGTGTTGACCGATAGAAATTGGAATGATTTGATGAAAATTTGAAGAAAAATTATGTAATTATGCAAATTATATTTATATATTATGATTCATATCGAGGTAAGGAGTAGCGAGCAAATACGTCTGACCAATTATAATGAATTTTTAAGTCGATAGCGAATTAATATACAATAAAATACTTATTTGACATAAGTAAAGTTCAAAAATCACGACGTGTGTCGTAAATTTTATTTTTATTATTATTATTTTTCTGCCAGTTAATCTCTCACACATCCCGATATATTGCACGCAGTTTTTTTACAGGCGCTTTGTATTGCAATGAAATAAAAAAAAATTCAAGAAAAATGACAACTGCCAATGCATAAAAGCGCGAGTATTAAAAACTAAAAATTGAATTACAGAACAAGCCGGATTTAATTCGTGTACCCCGCGGGCAGTGAAAGTGATTTACGTGTATGTCGGCTAACCGAAAAAATCACACATGTGTACACGCATGAAACGCATGCATTGCATTGTCATGGACATTTAAAATTCGAGAACGTAACTGGAAAAACGTAAAATGTTAACTCTTTGTCAGCTGCCTCTTTTATCTTTATTTAAAAAATTCACAAAATTGTATTGCATTGGAAACAGTTCTAAAATGTTTCGATTTCGAAATTGCCTCGTGCCAATAAAATTTCTAAAATGATATCTTTTTTTTAATGGTGCGAACTTACGATTGTGCAATAACACTTCATATTTATATATGCAACGTATTTCGAGTAGCCATGCCAACATCATGTTTGCTGTAATTATAATATAATGTATTCACTAAAAGCGCAGGTGCGCAATAAGGTATACTGAAGATGAAAGTTTATTGCTTCCGCAACAAGTTTCTAAAACGTTGTTCGAGAGGGATGATGTTTGAGATATTATACTTGCCGGAATGAGAATCCGAAATGCCTGAATACTATTTTGATACTGTATTAAAGTATTGCCATTTTCCTCATGTATACAATAGCTAATATTTACACTATTAAAAAAATGTTTACAGTTTTTAATTTCACTGAAGAAATAGTAAAAATTAAGAAAAAAAGAAATGTTAACTCTACATTATACTAAGAATAAAATTAAAAAATTCTTATTTACATGTACATGTTATAAATCTTTATTAAATAATCACGGTGATATAACAGAGCTCTGATAGCTTAAAAAAAAACACATGAGATATTGCAGGTTACAGTATGTCATAAATTTCCTTTTAGCAGTAACAAATCTTGTTTACCAAATTTTATCTAAAAAATGACGTGACAATTTGTCATTCTGTGTTCTGAGATTGTCATCGCAAGATTTTAAGTCGGATATTATCATTTTTATAACGTTTTAAAATGGAACGCTATTATGCATTATTATTATCATATATAAACTACGATGCAATACAATAGAAAAATATACTAATGAAAATTATTTTAGTGCAACATTAGCGAAAGATCTAGGAAAATATTTATTATTTCTTCCCTCTGTAAAACTGAACAAAATATTTTAGCTTTTTCTATTACATATATTATTACGAAATAGTTTTATGATAATAACATTAAATATTTGTTAATTAATGTTAATGTTATGATAAAATTATAATGGTGTGAGATTATTATTTGAATTATAAATGAGTTTATTCAATGAGGTATATTGTCCATTATCTTTATTTATGTGTACATTTGTATGTAAATGTTAAAAACATTAAAAATTCATACTTTAAGCAACAAATATGTAAATTTTTTATGAGTAAATTACGGAAATGCACACTGGTACAGCTGATAGTAAATCAAGATTCTCCTAAAGTATAAAAATAAATCAATATTATGCTTAAATTATTTTAATTAATTTTGAAAATTTATCTAAATAATTATATTTTTATTAATAATTAATTATTATAATAAAATAAACACGTCTAAATTCTCCATATAAATGGTATAAAAAATTTTTTAAATATATAAAATATTTCATAGATAATTTTATATATATATACATATTTTCATGATAAGCAATAATCAGTGTATTTTTAATTTGTTATATTACAGAAAACACTGTGCTCTCTAGAAGTTTTCTCCATTTCTTTTACATTTGTTTGTACATATTGTGTGCAATCTCCATTTTAAAAATTGTAATCCGGATTTAGTTTCTATAACGTAATAGCGAAAGCAATATACAAAACTTTTCTGTGCTCAATATTTTAAAATGTTTCATTATCACAATTTATATTTTATAATTATTTACAATTATTCGTTTTTTTTTATACAATTAATTTTGATATTTATCGCAAATATATCGAAATAAAAGGAAGTTAAAAATAATAACAAACATAATAAAAAAGCAGCTATGTATAATCAAGAAAAAAATTTCATGTAAATAGACTTTTAGATGTTGATATTTAGACATAAATTAAAAATCGAAAATCATATCTTGATTTATAAATTTTATAATATAAATTTTTGTTAACGCTACAATAGTATATGTAATATATTTTTTATAGTTTATACATACTTATACATATAAAGTGTGTTAGACCAATATTATATTATCAAATAATGATAACATAATTATACATTATATTATTATTACTTTATATCATTAAAATAAATATTATTATGAAAATAAAATAATTTATATACGATGAAGATTCGCATATAGGACAAAATTTTGAGTGCCTATGTTTCGAATTCAATTAAATAAATTCAAATAAATCATTTCTAAACTTTCGTTTGTAACTATTTGACGTTTATTTACGATCTGAAAATGATAGCAGTCGAACGCTATATTTAAACCTTATTAATAACAATTGGAAACCTGTAAGAAATTTTTAATGCGATAAATATTATCATATATCTTATTGAGCGAACGATAAGATACTCGTCTGGAAAGTGGAGAATCTTGATTTGATCCCCAGATTGAAAGATTATTTATATGACAATATAACTTGGCGATAGTAAGAAATATTATCAAAAATATGTCAGCACTTTTGAAGTGAAATTGTCGAAAATAACATTGACTTTTAAATATTCTTAATATCATTATCGGTGTTGTATATTCTTGCGTTGTTTAATCAATTAACACTTGTAATTTCATTTTGCGTCCTACATTCGTTGTGATAAAAACGAGAGTATGATAAAGATTAATGAGTTAAACATATTATCTTCTTCTGTTCATTTATGTAATTATTATCATTAGCAATTGATAGTTACATACAGTACAGCAATACATAAACAATATTGCTAAAATAAACATTGCACTTTGAATTATTACTTAATTTTATTTCTCTAATTTTATTTATCTTTTTCATATTGTTACATTTATATTATTGTATAATAATATTGCATAAATATTGCATAAATTTTCTTACAATTAGTCTTTCTTAATATTACTGAATAGTATTGCATAGATGTCAAATCAATATACGATAATTTTATTTTCATATAAAAAATTTATAAAATTATGATTACGTAAAAAGAACGCGAAAAAAGTTTATTCGTATTATTCATATTAACAAATGAACAAGATTCATAGATGAAAAAAAAAATGAAATCCTTTAGAGTCAGATTGTGCGAATATTTAAATATATCTGTGCTAAATTGATTATAGTCATTTAATTGTGTTATAAGAAATTTCTAATTCGATATCTAAGTTATATCTAAGTTTTTTAATAAATATTTTCTTATTGACTTGATATAACATACAGACGATGATGGAACAAGTAAATATTACAGTGAAACAAATAATATTTTTTACAGTGAAACGTAATAACATTTTTTAATGTCGTTTTGCATCGTTTTATTAAATGATAATATGAATACGTAAATACAAATTATATCATATCGTAATTACCTTGTTACGTAAACTTGGTTAATTTTACATATATACCATGAGTTGTTTGCAACATCAAAGAGCTCAAAGGAGCGAGAACAGGAATCTGAGTTTTCTCACAAACATCTATTTTATAATTCATCAGGACTTTGATTAAACCAACCTTGGTCTGATTAATAGCAAACCTTGCACCTAAAAAATCAGCACATATGACAATTCAATATTTTTTAAAAATCGTATATACGCGCGCGCGCGCGCGCGCGCGTGTGTGTGTGTGTGTGTGTGTGTGTGTGTGTTTTAAATAAATAATTATGCAACAAAATTTTTTACTATAAACTTATAAATTTTTTAAATTACCGATACAGTTTCTTGGACCGTTTCCAAAGGGCAAATAATGCATGGCATTCCTCTGGCTTACATTTTCCGCGCTGAATCGTTCAGGATCAAAAACATCCGGATCTGGATAAATATTCGGATCATTTTGAATAGCATAAATGGGTATTATTACTCTTAATCCTTTTCTTAAAGTGATTTTAGTCTCTTCAAAGACATAATCTTGTAGAGGTTTTCTCGTAAGATACATTACTGGTGGATATTTCCTAAGAGTTTCTGCAAAATACAAAAACATTTGACTTGTTGTTATCAGAAAGATATTTTCTGGGGGAGACGATTTATCAAAACTTGACAAATGTCCGTCACAAATTTCCGACCCATAATTTCCCAAGGATTTTATCGAAAAATTTATGACATATTTATAAATAAATTTGATTTATTGAATTATTAATAGTATTATTTAAAGCTATATAAAAAACCTTGAAAGATCTTGTCCAAATAACTCATCTTCTTAATATCGTCGTACAATATTTCACCGTTACTACTCTTAAGGATGTCTTTGATTTCTTCTCGAACTTTTTCTTGAATTGATTGATTCTTCGCCAGTTCATACATCGCGTTGGACATCGTAGTGGAGGATGTCTCAAAACCAGCCGCGAAGAATACAAACGCTTGAGCAGCAACAAGTTCATCAGTTATATCTGTATATAAATAATCGATAATCGTTGTTACATGACATTCGAACTAACTTGTTCATAATATCAATTTGCATCAATTCTTTTATTAAAAAAAATAATATATATATATATATATATATATTGTCAAGAAACACAATATTGACACATTATGAACGTTGAAAAGTTGATCAAGCTGCGAAAAAGAAAAAAATGTTTCTTACGGTTAATACCCAATTTCTCGGGATTATCCTTGAAATCAATAAGGGTATCAATGAAATCGTGCCGGCGTATGTTGTTCTGCTTCCTGTATTCTATGGTTTCCCGGGTAAGATTCGTCATAAACTTGGTCACGACATGATCGTCTAAGATGTATCCGATACGCTGGTAGAGCCACGGTATTTCTTTCAAGATATTTTTAAGGAAGGACTTTAGAGTGTTACGGAAGATCCTACGACCCATTTTTTGAAATTGATTATTCTCTTCTTTTAACGCGTTCATCTCAATGCCGAAGACGCATGATCCGATCACGTCGACTGTGAATTTGGACGTTAGATCCCGGCACTCGACGATTCCGTCTTTGGGCACTATCTCGTTCAGATACTTTTCGAAGTGGTCGGAACAGTTCAGCAACAAGTGAAACATGTCCTTCAACTTTCCGGACGTGAAGACGGGCGAGAGCCTTATTCTTAATGGTCGCCATCTAGCAGCGTCGATCCTGAAGAGGTGCATGGACATGGGGTCGGCCTATAAATTATGCATCAGTGTATCAGAAAGTGGGAATTACATTAAAAAGTTTCCTCTCAAAGTTTCCGAGTGATCAACGCTTGCACCGAAACTTATACGTCAGTTCAACTTTAAACTGGAAAGAGAGATAAAAAGAGACACTCTTCTCAACTTTTAATTTTTTACGTTACATTTATTGTAATTGATATATTCCGGATAAAAAATACAGAAAAAAACAAATAAAAGATAATTATTTTAAATAGAAAAAAATTGATATTTTACAATACTAATAGTTTATTTATCTTATATTTACAATTTATTTTATTTTTATTATATTTTGTTGCTTCTATATTTAACATTTTTGTATTTTCTTAATTAAGTGAAGGCTATTGCCTCTATATTTAAGTAGAAGAAAAACAAATAAAGAAAAATATTTTAGAACAAAGATATACTATATTTATATTTACACGTTTTTAGAGAATAATTACACGAATAATTACACGTTTTTAGAGAAAACGATAATATAATTATCTATTATGCTTCTATATAAAATACAAGAATACCTTTTCATAAACTTTTCCATCCCGATCGCTAAAGACAGTGAAGTCCTTAATTAGTACTTGCTTGATATAATCAGGATCTCTCAACATAAGTGCGGGATTTCCTCTCAAAAATAAACCTACCATAGGCTCTTTTGTATATCGATCGTAAATCTTTTTATAAAAATTGCCTAAGCAATTTTTTCCCAACATGAATTCGGCAATGTTACCGAAAAATGGAATCGGTTTCGGTCCATTAATTCCGCGCGATGTCCAATAATCAAAGTCAGCAGTCAAATAATAATAAAGTAACCATAAAATCATCACGCAAACACAGAGAATTTCAAACATTCCCGCAGCCATCGTTAATTCTGTGATTTTATGATTGCAATACCTGTTACTTATTGATCAACTTAACTCTCGATAAATTCTGTGACAATTTAAACGTTAATAATAATTCAAAGACATAGCTGCACGAGAAAGATAACACTGCACAATGTTTTCTGCGTGAGATCGTCAGGGGATTTAAGCGTCTTCCCACTTCTCGCTTCTTACTTAACAGAAAAGATAAAAAAATAGTGTTTCGTAAAATGATACTTATAAATGGTGTTACTTATGCTCGACAGATGTATTAAGTCATTCTAACTTATCAGACAGATATAAGTGGCTAAGTCATTCATTTTGGTTAGGACTTTTAGATAGTTAAAACCTTTATTATCTATTATGAATCGTGAGACTACAGCCACTACAATTCACATTTTATCAACGTTATTGGAGTTTTAACAAAAATTCATATAATTTATATAATTATAATTTATAAACACAATGACTATGTGAATAATAACTTTGCGTAAATACTACGCTATCTGTTATGCCTTTCTCAAGTACGTAAAAGATAGTGTTGCGTTTGCGATAAACAAAAATAAAAATGTCTGAGTTAATAATGTCTGAGATATAAAATTATCTGTAATAAATCAAATGCATATTAAGATAGAATCTAAATGTACGTACATAAGAAGTTGCATTACATTGATAGATTATAATTATATTATTGAATAATTATATATATATATATATATATATA